TATTATTTAATAATATATATATATAATTATAAGTGTTAGTTTTATAAGGGATTAATATTACTAGTAATAAAGTATAAATTATATATATTTAAAGGTTTAAGGAAAAAAAAGTTATTGAGGATGCAGCTAAGGATGAAGGGATTGATAAGCTTCTTTGTACGTGTGAGTATGTTGAGGCGAGTTGGGAATACCCGCAACTAAGAGGTGGTTCTCCGTCTGCCAGTGCGGAATCGGATAGGATGTGCAAAGCTTTTTTTCGCAGCGACCAATATGGGGAGTTGCGATGGAGAAAGGGGCTCAGCGATCTCTTGGATGCTTGTTCTACGATGGAGACGAATCCGGAGCCCTCGGGGGATGAGGGCTCTCTGAAAAACGCCAAGGAACGCTGTACCGCGCTGCAAGCTCAAGTGGACAAGGTAGAGAAGGACGCGAGAGGGCCGGTGAAGGGGGTCCCAAAAGTGAAGGCGGGAAGTTGCAAAGTAAGTCGTGTCGTGTTGCGCAATACATACACGCTGCTAACCGCAACTATAGTATGATGCCTACAAGTTGTCAGCATATGGCACCCACTGCGGCAACAACTGTCGGGCTTTTAATGCCCTAGACGGTTGGCGTCTAAACGTAGCGGGAGAGCAACCGCCGAAGGACAAAGTCCAGAACAAGACACAGGAGAACCCGGACCCCTGGGCGTATGAGAAATTTCGAAGCAGTGTGGAAGGGTACTGTGCCGAAGTGCGAGCACAGATAGAGGAGGTATCGCCAGAGACATTGGAGGAGTTGGAGGATCCCGCCAAGTTTGAGAAGGACAAGGAAGGCGAGGACGCGGCAACTAAGCTGAATGAGGATATACCTGCTAGACGACAGCTATCTTGACATGACTTGTGGTTAGATGGTGATGACAAAAGATGTAGATTTGCAATCTTTGCGTTACGATATCGTGCGCGTGCCCTCGTAGATGTCAGTCCCCTGTCGTCAACTCTATCGACGTAGGCCGCATCAATGCCACCGAGTTAAAAGCTAGGGAGAAGATCGGGGAGTGTTGCGTTTCAGAGCCGTTTCTCTCTCTCGCGCGCGCTCTCGACAGTTCACAGAATACAATTGGCACTAAAATGTAGGTTAGTGCTGTAAACATGGCCTCTATGCCAATGCTAAGCATCGAGCCAAGGTCATCCAAGGGCCGACTATGAACATGACAAGCATTTGCGAGGCCTGGTTGGTAACCTAATCTATGCAGATGCTCTCCAGGATCTGGCTACTGTCTACATAGTCAACACTCAGGGGCAGATTGTGAGACTTTCATTTGGTGGTGTTCTTGCATCGACCTCAGCCGAGTGCATCTCCACGGCCCAGCCCGTTGCAGCCTCCATACCAATGCCAGGCATCTGCGCGACCAGAATGGTGGCCGGATCGATAGGGAAATCAAAGTTAGTCCTAGGCTAGTAGCTGTTCAACCTTGACATGCCCGTGCGAGCCGAAAACGGGCGCTCCAACCACCGTCACCTCCCCACCCGATAGCGCGTCCGAAACCCCCGACACCCGCTAGGACAGGGTCAATGCCAATGGCTTTATAGTGTTCATCTCGGCGATTTTGCCATAAATCTATAGGGACCCTGTGCTAGATCTGACCCACGGGCTCTAGAGGTGTGGTCAGTGCTAACTGCTGCTAATAGACTGTAAAGATTGGATTCGGCCCCCGGCGCTCGGATGAGCATTTCATCTGGGGATCCCCGCTTCCCCGGGAGCCCGCCGTGCGGGGTAAGAATCCTACCTCCGCATTTTCGGAGGTGGGGTAGATTTACCGTACCCAGTGGACAGAGCGCGAATAGAACGGCTAAGCTGGTCTGGACCTTTGTTGTTTACCGTCGTGGCAGCCGCCGAAAGGTGTACTAGCTCACTGGGGGTTGTGCCCCGGAGGATGTGTCGCCGTAATGATCGACGTCGACCGCCCAAGTTGGCCGGCGAGAAGGAAAGGAATCAAAGCTCGTGGTTGGGTTCAAGTCGGCCACAAATAAATCATCGTCCTTCCCAGGCCTTGATCCAAATATACGGTTCCCTACACTCTTCATCACCCAGCGTTGCACCGTCGAATATACTTGGGCATTTTCCACAAGCTTTGGAGTGAATCTTCTCTCTCAGTCTCGGGCAATAGAAGCTCTCTTGCCACAGTTGACACGATTCAAGATGAACTACTTGCTGTTATTTTATATGGTTGCCAATCTGATCGTGACGGCTGTTGGCGGCACAGTTCCACGAAATCCATCTGTCAGGTCGGACCTGCTCCAACCGAGTCAAGACCCGTTTTATGCTGTTCCAGATGGTCTTGACGCAATAAAGCCCGGTACAATTTTACAGCACCGGGCTCCTCCTTCTCCCATTGCTGCTTTCAGTGTCGCGGCTCTCAATCTCAAGGCCTCTCACCAAATACTATATCGCACCACTGACAGCCTGGGGGCCGCTACCGCCACAGTTCTTACTGTTCTGATGCCTCACAACGCGGACACCAGCAAGATACTCTCCTACCAGATCGCCGAAGATGCGGCGTCAATTAACTGCGCGCCATCCTATGCCCTCCAGCTCAAGTCCGCTACTGGACCTCTGCTGGGCACACTCGTCACACAAGCTGAGCTACTACTTGTTGAGGCTGCCCTGCAACAAGGTTGGGTGGTCATCATACCGGATTTTCAGGGATCCAAGGGAGCATACCTCGCGAATAAGCTCGCGGGATACGCAACCCTGGATGGTATTCGGGCAGCCCTGAATTCCGCGTCCTTCACCGGCATCATGGCAAACAGCTCCAACCTCAAGATTGGAATGTGGGGGTATTCCGGTGGCTCTCTTGCCACAAATTGGGCAGCCGAGTTGCAGCCAACCTACGCTCCGGAACTGCGCATAGCCGGGGCAGCGGTGGGAGGCACCATCCCTAACATCACCACCGCGCTCACAACCATCAACGGCGGCCCCTTTACCGGCTTTATACCTGCAGGGATCCTCGGCCTGGCCGCTCAATATCCGGAGATACAGCAAGTTTTGGACCAGCATCTCAAGCCGCAGTTTGTGGATAAATTTCACGGCGTCCTGAACCAGTGTTTGGTGGCTGATGCAGCCGACTTTTTGTTTCAAGACGTCATTGGCATGCTGGATGACCGAAATCTCGTTCAGACTAATCCGATCGCGGTCCGGGTCCTCGGCGAGAATGCCCTGGGGCGGGCGACACCCAAGATACCCTTTTTCTGGTACAAATCTGTCTTGGACGAGGTTAGCCCTGTTGAGGATACAGATGCTTTGGTGAAGAAGTACTGTGCCCAAGGCGTGACGATAGAGTATCAGAGGGATCTTGCATCTGAGCATGGCAGCTGTGCCGTTGTCGGTGCACCCAAGGCCTTGTCTTGGCTCAAAAATGTCATGAATGGCAAAAACCCGCAGCCTGGATGCTCCACCAAGACTGTCTTGACATCGCTGATTGATCCTGCCACTGTTCAGGTTGTCCCCGGATACATAGTGAAGCTACTGCTTGATTTGTTGGGCAAGCCCGTCGGGCCTCTTCTGTTTGGATAAAGCCAGGCTGGAATGGGTTCAATTCGTCGGTTCTGGGTATATTGGGCAAACCTGTGCAAACACCACATGTCACTCATCCCGGAAGGAAGCTGTTGTCATGACAATACAGTTGATTTCAAAGCATGTAGTTCTCGCGTGATTGCTGTGCCACGTTCAAACGTTCAAATCAAGAGTCTCTCGTTAGCCCACGGACTGGGGCATGTCCTGCCAACCGTTTCTCATTTATCCAAACTGCGGTGTTTTGTGATGTGTTGAATTGTATGTAAACCTGTCAAATTAGCGTGTATGGCTCTACATCAGTTGGTTGAGCACTTAAGGAGACATGACCCACGTTTAACATTACAGAAGAGGTATTTACACTGTCAGCTACAGGGCGATAACAGATGCGATGGAAATGTCTTCTTCAAAACCTGTCCTGCCGCTCGCTGCCTGGCATCTGAAACCACCGACGCATTAGTGACAAGGTACATTGCCTTATCCTCCTTTAAGAGTATTGCTGTGGCAACAGCAAACCATGGGAACATGGCGTGGAAGATGCAATAATAGTTGCCTGATGGCAGATAAAAGTGGCCCCATCACCGCTGGTTTGGTTTGGTAGTTTCCACCCAGGAGAATTTCTTCAGGGTGGACAATGTGTGCACAAACTCTCTGAACAATGCGGCGTCGATGGATGTGTGTGGAGTTTGTGTCCCGGAGTTACTTCTCGTTCAGGGTCAATGCCCTGCATCTTCCAGTGTAGCGGGTCTTTCTCAAAACTCTATTATCATCAAATGTCTGGGTATCGAAGAATGGTGGGATATGTAACGTTGCTGGCCATGTACAATGTAAAGGAGGGCCAGTTGTCTCACACGTGTGATGCAATAGAAGCACACCCTACACCAGAGCATCCCCTAATGCAGTTGCACTTATCAACTCTCGGCTCGATGCCGACGCTACTACTTCTCCTTCGCTGCCAAGTTTTGCAGGCGTCCCTTCAACATGACTTGATAAGCAGAGGCTGAGTGTGAGGATTCAATCGAGTGTATTGACAGCTGGTCACGTGACTACTGCGAGTATCTGAAGGAAAAAAAAGAATAAAACAAACGAAAATCAGAAAACAAGAGACCACCCGCTGTAAGCGCTGGTCAGACAGTCCATCGCAAGGCGAGCCACACAGATTCCAGTCCGTCAGTGTTGCAGTGTTGTGATCCAAGAGGCCGAGCAGGCGACTGGCAATGAACAACATGGTCATGCAGTTACTAGTTGAAGGCAAGCACCTTTTTGAGAATGCCTACTACGAGTTGAATAGCCTGCTGAATACCGGGAACATCTCGAATGATGACGCCAACAACATCGAGCAGACCAAGCGAAGCCTTCCCTATCACGGTGCCAATTGCAATAAGAATGCTCGCTTCAACTTGTCAGTCATATTCCACAGCCATCCCGTATTTGGTGCTCTTACATTGATTGAAAACATCCAAAGCCTCGACAAACAGTGAAGCGATATTTGTCGTAATATCGATCAGAACCTTGGCAATAGCCGACGCATCTTGGAGAGGTGGAAAACCAGACACTTGTCTCTTCGGAAGTTGAGACCCAGAGGCAAGTTCGTGAGTGGTGTGGTTCACAGACGCTATAATCCGATTAAAGGCATCGTTGACGACTTTTATGGATGACGCATTTCGCGTTTCTATGGATTGGGTCTTTAGAGATGACATAGCGGACCCTGTGTTGTTGTTAGCCGGGTCGTGTACAAGCTGAAGTGGCTCTGATGACCATACTGATAATCTCTATATCCTTCGTGGTATCATTCTGCAGGTTTTTCAAGGCCTTCAATACAATCCCGGACCTCTGACTAGCGCTTCCCGAAAGACTTTGCGCGATGGTTACTCCTTGTTTTATTAGCTTGGTTCGGCCATGCGTACGAAGGGCAAATAATCGCATACCTATACAACAACAGAGTATGCCCAAAATGTACGGGATTCTCATGTTTAGTTATTGCAATATATACACGTAGATATATAAACGAAGCAAGTCCTGGGAAGCCAAATAAAATTAAAGGCGGGATAAGATGATGAACAAGAAAAGGCCTACAAGGTAGGTAAACCGCACTTATATAGAAAGCTATAGCTCATAGAGACACTCGAATATGACCGAGGCTTTGTTGGGAATTTATAGCCCACCAAGATTAAACGCTTCGTTGGACGGATTGTGTGGATTGACAGCATTTGGGGTAACACCAGAACCCCTCTGGTAGCGTCGCTGGCGGCAAATCCCCAGAAATTAGCCTGACTAGATATTGCGGGGTAGCAGATTGTCCTTCTACCCCGCATCAAACTAGTCAAGTCAAGAGGAGTCCTGTCTTTTTGTGTTTCGACGTCGACCACTGCATTCCTCCGACTTGAGTTACATTCTGAGAGACACAGACCGGCCCCCATGGCCACGTGCCCAAGTCTAAAGTTTCAATGTTGGTTTTCATCTCATTGAACCTGGCGTCCGGCACAGGGGCCCCTGGTTCTGACAAGAAGAAGAAAGGCTCGCCTGGGTGTGCCAACTCACATCCACGGCTTTCTGACACTGGGTAGCCCTCCGACATGGAACGTAAGATGGAGATATGGAGCATCGGCTATAAATGACATGAGGGCGCTGCCTGGCCCACTGCTCCCAAATATCCTTTTCTATTCCATCTAAACCCTAACCCGCGTGATAGTGTCCTCATGCATGTGGATCCTGCTGTCTGGTCAACCGGGTACAACGTCGGGGGGGATGGTGCATAAATTCGGACAAACCATGATAAATCTCCGGGATAGTAACCAAACTTGGGACATTTGTTCAGCGCGACACATGGTAATTCGATTGGCTTTCATGAGGATTCCCAACTGAGACGAGGTCACTGCGCAATTCCGAGCGGTAGATGGTGTCCGAGCACAGCCTCGTTGGGCTATGCAACCACGTCGAGCTGCTGAATCAGACTGCACGGTATTTGGGAATGATTGCCTCGTTTTTGGATTATTTGAAAACATGGGATATAACAATCAGTATCCAACAGTGTCCGATATCGATTCTCTGTCTTTCCATCTTCCATTGCGTACTGCACGCTAGGTAAACAAATCATTCATGACAACTGCCCGAGGTCAATCCACGTCACCTTCAATGCCTCGCCGGTTCTATTCACGGGCTCATGTGGCTTGCAAATATTGCCGCTGCCGAAAGGTGCGATGTGATATCTCATTATCGGGTATACCATGCTGCAATTGTGCTGTAAATAGTGTTATATGCGAGACTACACAGAGGAAAAGACGAATGTACCTATTCGCCCGTCGTTTATGCATCTTGGTTCCAAGATTAAGTGCGGCTAATTTAATGTAGAAATCCATATCAACTGTCCATCACGTCTGACTGCCAACAGGGCCCCACGGCATTTCTATCACAAGGACAAAGCAACTGCGGTTATGAAGGGGACCGCGGCGTTTCCAAGCAGCTATATAATACAAGTCTTCAGACCAATAAGACGGCAAACGGCGTGACTGGTATGGAGACTGGTATTGCATCGGAGCCTTCGAGAAATGATATGACCATTAGAACTTATAAGTATTACATCAGTACGACATGTCTGTTTTAACTCAAACCTTGAAATTCCATGACTTATAATATGTTTTTTTTAGGTGATAAAGGAGAATCTCCTGCTTTATCTAAGAATATTGCCCTCATGATCACTTTATATCTCTCGGGCACACTTTCCTACTCGTGTCAAATAACACGGCAATTGACCCCGAAGACTTCACCTATTTGCGGCAAAAAGGCTGCTTTAGCTTACCATCACGGGAGATGCAAGACATGTTGATTCGCACTTATTTTCACTATATATATCCCTTTGCGCCGATTATCAACGTCCCTGACCTTTTATATCAATATATAACTGGACGGCCAAGTTTCTTATTACTTTGGAGTATATTTGCCGCGACAGGGAATGTGAGCTAATCCTTTTGCCATTTCAGGAATATAAGCCATGGACTAACACCCTTGTAGTTTGTTGACGAGAAGCGGCTGGCCGAGGAGCTCGGGTTCACGAAAGCAGAGCTCAAGGCAGAAGCGTCCGAACGGGCCATAGTGCGACCGCCGACGTGTCATTACCTACGCGTAACTAGAAATAGCTAACATGGAAAGGTATTGTACGACTTGGAATACGAGAAGGAGACGATGACTATTATTCAGTCCACGTACCTGATGAGCTACCACCTTGGAGGCATTAATGCTGATAGAGGACCGTAGTATTTGATAGGCATTGCTATTAATCTGGCTTATGGTGCTGGCCTTTATCGCCTCTCACCCTGCGAATTACAGACTTGTCCAACTTGCCATTCACGCCAGTGGGCACAACTTTGGTGGAGTATTTACTGCCGCGAAGCGTGGCTCTCCCTCGCCTATAATCGCCCGATGCGAATACAGCTGGATGAAGTATCTATAACCGTTCCAACCCAAGTCGAAGTCGCATCCATCTGCATCGATATTTTCGACGAAAGGTATCATAAATATCTACCTCGGGAAATTGACAATCTAGGTAGTATATGGTTATACCTCGTCAGAATCTCACTTACTCTAGGCGATATTTTATCCAAGTTGTACGCGCCAGAGTCCTCGGGGCCGACACAGCAACCAATAAACTACACCGAGGACGATGTTGGGGCGCATCTATGCGGATTATCCGATGAGAGTCTTGGGAGCGAGCTTATAAAGGTGCATCTGTACCAGCTTCGACTTTATCGCGAGTATGCCGTTTTCCGCCACAGCCGCCCCAATCTCGGTACTAATTTTCCATTACAGAACAACCGTGATTGCCTTGTACCACCCGCACGTCCAGGGCCTGCAAGATTACCAGTCAGAGGAGCACCAAAGCTACCTCTGGAAGCTGTGCTTCCAAAAATCGCGTGCGGCAGCACTTCGCACTACGCACCTGATTAACACGATGATTGGGGAGGGCCTCACTGGAAATATTCACATGCTTACGTAACAATTCAACTACTCCCTTCATCCATTATATAAAAAGTAGGGAGTGAGTAATTGACCAGACTACAGTGTTATTGCGATTATGCCTTCAATACAAATCTACCTCGCCGACCTGGCGTCTACGAACCAACTTATAAGGCAATCAGGGGAGTATAACTTGCGCTTGTGCATGACTCTCCTCGATATTCTTCGAACAACATATATATATGCCGAGGAGATGTATTGTTTATTCAGGAAAGCAGTTTACAAGCCCAACAACAAGTTGCTGCATAGGCCGCTTTCTGAGCCCATGTCCGGTCTGTGGACGGGATCGGAGCAAGAGAGCATTACCGCTAGTCAACCCGGTTTCCTTGCCGGCGAGGAGAATGGCGAAACAATACCGGCTCAACTATTCTATTTGGATGTTCTGGGGATGGTAAACGTGTGAATAATAGGGCTTATGCGTGGCCGGGGCCCGAAGGCGAGAGAGTGTAAACCAAGCTATATCGGGCTCAGCCCGTTATAACCTGTCACGTTATAAAACTTATTATTAACTAAGCTTATTTATAAAATTATTTTTCTTCTTATTATTCCCCTTTTTAACTATAAAAACTTAAAATATTTAATAGTTTTAAAATACTACTACCTCTAGGTAATAGTATAATAACTATTATTTTTACTTGCTACTCTGGTGGTAAAACGCTTGCTTGTTTCAATCAACAAAGGCAGTTTTATCCGACATAACCACTTTTGTGTCATGCCAACTTCATCAATAAAGCCTTTGAACTCAACATAATAAAGCGGCATAACAACGCCGACAGGCTTATCATTTTCTAATCGTCGTTAATAGATCGGCATCTCGTAGCGGACTGCGTGAACGATTTGGGGATGTCTGGAGGTTGCGGATAGATTACGGCGAGGCTTTCATATTTTATGGTCCACAATAGCACATTTCGCGGAACCTTGCAGTATTCAGATATTAGATTCCTGAGGTGGCAAAGCTGGAATGCCGATACATCTACCACGTATACCTTTATTTCCAGAATACTTAGTACTCTTAAAAGGGAATTTTAAGCACTCTATTCTACGCGATAACTGCCAAACCTTTCATAAAAGGACAACCACAAGCCAGTCCAAATCCGTCAACCGCAGTTCTGCGTTGTGATCGTCATGAATTGATGAGTTATTCAGCCGGCTGCACACTTACCACCACTTGGCAGTCGGGATTTCGCGAATGACATTTGACGCACAATGGACATCGCCATATGTAGTATAGTGCGTGAACCAGTCATCTATATAGCGAACCGTATAGTTGGCCTTGGCGTAGGCCGCATTCACCGCAGCGGATAGCACATCCTGGCCGTCGATTACAGGTCCCCATGGGTTTGGGGCGAGAATCTGCCTATTGCCCAGAACGACGCTATTAATAGTGCTAGGGTAAAGAGCAGCGGCTTCCCCATTGGCCTCTTCTTGGCGGCCCTTCAAACTCCTTGCTGGTATGTTTGCTGGTTGCTGCTCTAACACCCGGGGGGGCGTGCCGGCTTCTAGAGCGTTGAGGATTTTGGTGCCGACATCTTCCCCGGGAACATCTGCTAGCCGTTGCCCCTGTTGCTCTCCAGACTCCCTGGTCTCCTGAGCGGGGACTCTGCCGCGAATCTGGCGGCGCTTGTTACTATCTGCTTCCTGCCCATATTGCCAAACCTCGCGATCGTATACTTGGTAAAGAGAAGGAATGCGAATAATTTCCGCGTCGGTAATGCCCGTCTCCCGCTTAATAGCGTTGACGCTTTTCTCAATATTGCTGGCGCAAGCGTCCTGGAAGCCGGCAAAGTTGGGGGTGTTCAGCACATCGTTAATAGTATTAGTAACGCGCCATTTTGGCGGATCAAGATCCGACCGGGGACGGGAGACGGCAATAAGTTTACCGTGGCCGGCTAGCTGAGCCTTCTGGAGTATCTCAAGGCCTGCACGCGGATTATTTACCATCATGACCCAGCCGCGCTTGCTTTGAACAGGGAGAAATTGTATAAATTCATCTGTATGCTTAACTTTAAGCCACGACGTGTCAAGCTCAATTGGGGCCTGCGTCTCTTGAGCCTCTAAGAAGGCCATCATATATGGTTTCTTCCTACCCGCTGAACCCATTACAGTTCGTCCCGCAGCATATGACTTGCCATTATATGTATAGGGGGGGATAGTCTCTAGATTGCCTAGGCTGTCGAGTGTACCACCGCGGCCTGGGGTCTGAAGAGCCCCTACTGTATTCGACCTTAGTTCTTGGAAAACCTTGCGGCCGGCGGGGCGGTCGGCCTGAGCAGACCGTATCATGATGCGTATGCTTACTAGGCCGCTAGGTCCAGGGATGCTCATATAGCCGGGCTCGAAAAAATCTTGAGACCAGATGTCAAGACCTGAGCTAAATATGCACTCAGAATTCTCGAAGATGTAGAGGGGCTTCTTTAATCCTGCTGTGCTAGATATCTCTCCGAGGTCCTTGACAAAGCCTGCTAGTCGTGGATGACCGGATGCTGTCAGTAATTGCTCGGCGGACTGGCCATGATGCTGCGTTAGGACTGGGGCAACACGAAGCGCCACCGAGTCCTTGGCCTCCCTTTCCCCGTCCTTAACCCTAAACTCCACAGTTGCTCTACCGTCCCATCCTCCCGGACGGCGAACGTCACGAGCGTCAATGCCAAGCTCTAGACCGGCCTTGAGATCTAGGGCCTGAAAGGTGTAATTTGACGTGACAAAAGTCCATTGGCCACCCGCTTTATAGAAGAGACGAACTTTGGAGGCAGCGGTCTCGTCGAATACGGTAATAGAACCCGTGGCCGAGTCGCTGAGTCCGGGATTTGGCACGGTTCGAAGAGGCGCAAGGTATATTGAGTTACGTAGCACGTCATCAGAAGAATCGTGGCACTCGGATATCCGCAGATCGTTGACCTCTTTCGGCGCGTCCCAAAATTCACCAAGCTTCTTCAGATACTCATTGTACGTAGCTTTGTCACTTTCGCTCAGAACTTTGAGCCACTCCGAATCTGACTTTTCTTTTCTATTACGTTTCTTCGCTGCGAGCTCTGGGTCCAGCCTTGGCGATTTAGGTAACGAGGTCTTGGGAAAGATGTCGCCCAGCTTGCTTGCGCATGAGCCGGTAATCTGGGATGAGCATCTCTGGTCTGTATCGACAATATTCGCCAGGAAGAGGGCGCCAGACTCTGCTGTCCACGTTTCTTTGCCTGCAAGGTCGGTATTGCCTGTTACGTCTACCTTGCCATCACGATTGGAATCTGCTAGGATGGTTACTCTAAAGCTGCCAATAGTTGCAGGAACAGGAGTAGACGGCTGGTGTGGAGCAGCCAGGGGTTCGTCTTCGGGATGGTTGACGGCCCCATCGTTTTTCAGGTCATGAGATATAGGATCAGGAGCCTCAGCACGCTTGCCAGGCGGGCCTTGAGGAATTGCGCCAGTAAGGGGCAACGCGGCGACAAGAAAAGCAAGACGCATTTTCACAAAGGAAGGTCAAAAATAAAGGTGTGAAATGAAGGCCAGAAAGGGGGCATTTATGAACGGTTGATTTGAGAGTGCTTATAACTAGGCTGAGGTTCTAGGTAAGTCTGAGCGACTGTTTAATGTATTTATACTATTTTCTCCCATATAATGCTCGGATTCTTGAGAAAGAGCACACGCGAGATTCCGCGAGAATTATTTAGCAGGGCTAGGCTAAGGCCTTAATTTATGCACACTGCTACATCCCAAGACCCTGTAAAACGTAGATAACGGTAAATCTCCTAACAGGACACATCCTAGTACCATGTCTTGTATATAGGCCAATTTAGCCATGATTAACTCTTATTCTTTCTTTCTTACTCCGTATCTATCTTCATGCAGTAGTATATAACTGACTCGTTTTACTTTGATGTTCTCTTCGATGAAGCCATCTCGCTTGTCGGTGGGGGACGGAAGGCGAGAGCGCAAGCCGAGGCCCCGTCGGGCGTAGCTCGTTACATGGCCCGTAATATCATGCAGCCTTAGAAAAGAGTGGAAACCCGAAAACCGATGTAGAAATTGTCTGGTAGCATGAAACTGCTAGAATTAGTGGACAGAGCCACTGCTTGTTATGCTCTGCTGTTGATTTGCTACCCCTCAATGTTTCGTTCATTTATAGTGCGATATGGGTTTGGTGAAAGCTACCAAGTCCATGCAGAGCAAATTTTCGTTGGCGTCCCGCGAAATTTTAACGCCGCGGGTCCCCACGAACCTAGGCGCCTCCCTGGGTCGGGCCCGCCTTCGCAGACAACCTGTCAGAGTACTCGTCAACGCCTTCACCTGAAGGAACTGCCAGCAGTCCATTGTCTCTACAGCAGTTTGGTAAGACGATGTCGCCGACAAGCAGGCAGGGAGATACGTTCAGTCAGCCTGGACGAGTCTGTACATAGGATGGTCGGAATCTGACGGATACCTAGTTGGTCTATAACCATTGCAAGGGTCGTACTGATAGCGTAGGCCATATCAGCTCCTTGCACTAGTAACAGAGCATGCGGGAGTAACAAACCTTAATACCAGACCCACAAGGCGCGGAAGGTCGCATTTATTTGCGTCAGATTTTGCATCTTGGTTTCTTGGGACCCTGCTGTCGCACAAGGTAATAGCAGCTAGCTGTATTAAGTTTCAGGCCACATAATAAGCGGAAATTAAATATCGTAAAATATTGTATAATCTTTAATAAGCTATATAAAATAATATATTAGTTATAATTGTAAATCTACCCCTTAAATATTTAAAGTTTTACTCGCCTAAAAGCAGACAGAATTTACAATATTTTTGCTCTTACCTTATATATACAAAACATGGATTAAGTTTAGTAATCTAGTTTTTTACTCCGTATAAAACTATATATAACAGGCAACTCAGCTAATAATTAGCAGCTAGTATTTATATAATTTGTGATTTATATACTTTATAAATTCCTTATTCTTATTAAGTATCTCCAACTCCTCTAGGTGTGTACCCAAGACCAGCTCTACTCCTTTATTTTTTTTTATAGGAGAAATAATAAGAAACTTAAAACGGCTATAGTTAGGCGGTAACTAAC